TTTCTGCTGCTGCTACTACTACTACTATGGCAACTACTACAAACTACTACAACTACTACAACAACAACAACTACTACTACTACTACTACTACAACCACACTTTCTGCTGCTGCTACTACTACTTCTACTACTACTACTATGACTACTGGTACTACAACTACGACAACTACTAAGAAGTACTACAACTACAACAGCAACTACTACAACTACTACAACTACTACTACAACTACAATTTCTGTTGCTACTACTACTTTTACTACTACTACTATTACTACTACTGCTGTGACTACTGCTACTACAATAACAACAACAACTACTACAGCTAGTACTACAACAACAACAACTGCTACTACTACGACAACTACAATTTCTGCTGCTGCTACTACTACTATTACGGCAACTACTACAAACTACTACAACTACTACAACAACAACTACTACTACTACAACTACAACCACACTTTCTGCTGCTACTACGACCACCACCACCACCACTACTACTGCTACTGCTACTACAACAACTACTACAAACTACTACAACCACAACCACAATTTCTGCTGCTGCTACTACTACTACAACAACTGCTACAACTACACTAACTACTAGAAACTACTACAATTACAACTACAACTACTACTACTACTATTACTACAACCACAATTTCTGCTGCTGCTGCTACTGCTACTACTACTACTACTACTACTACTACTACTACTATGACTACTGGTACTACAACTACGAAACTACTAAGAAGTACTACAACTACAACAGCAACTACTACAACTACTACTACAACTACAATTTCTGCTGCTACTACTACTTTTACTACTACTACTATTACTACTACTACTATTACTACTACTGCTACTACAACGACAACAATAACAACAACAACTACTACAGCTAGTACTACAACAACAACAACTGCTACTACTACTACAACTACGATTTCTGCTGCTGCTACTACTACTACTATGGCAACTACTACAAACTACTACAACTACTACAACAACAACAACTACACTACTACTACTACTACTACTACAACCACACTTTCTGCTGCTACTACTACTTCTACTACTACTACTATGACTACTGGTACTACAACTACGACAACTACTAAGAAGTACTACAACTACAACAGCAACTACTACAACTACTACAACTACTACTACAACTACAACCACACTTTCCGCTGCTACTACGACCACCACCACCACTACTACTGCTACTGCTACTACAACAACTACTACAAACTACTACAACCACAACCACAATTTCTGCTACTGTTACTACTACTACTACTACTACTACTATGACAACTGCTACAACTACGCTAACTACTACAGACCACTACAATTACAACTACAACTACCTATTATACTACTACTACTATTACTACTAGAACTGCAACTACAACCACACTTTCTGCTGCTACTTTTACTATTACTGCTGTGACAACTGCTACAAACTACTATACTACAACTACTAGAATTACAACTACAACTACAACTACTACTACTTGCATCTAAAACTAAGTACAAATGTGTGAAAAGTCTGAAAACTGTAGTGAAAATGAGAGAGTCGTTGGTGTAAAGTTATGCTCAGGTATTATTCATATTTGAGGTGTTGTGGTCCTTGTTGCTGCATCTGTCCTGGTGATTAAAGCCGAGCCTCAGAGCCGTCGTGATCCGTGTTAAGTGGAGGTTGTAATGCACACGGCCGCTCTGCTAAACCACTGTTAATGTGATGTGTGCTCCATACCAATCAGCTGTTTAACTCCGACACACGAGGCGCCACATTCTCCTCTCGATTTACACTGGATTAGACTCAGGCTGATAAGGACATGTTGCATACTCCAGCTTTATCCGAGAAAATGTTTAAGACTAAAAAGACGTACGTACATGAGCTGTTCAGGTTTCTGTTTAATCCGTGTATCATTCCTTCATCTGTTTTTCAATATAAACCCCAAAAAAGAAAAAAACGAAAAAAACAACACTTTTCTTCATTATTTGTCTCCAAAACCAAAATGAAAAAAACAGATAATGATTTGTTTTTTCAGTTTTCGATTTTGTGTTTAAATGAAGAATGGAAAAAACAGATAACGTCCGTTTCCCGTTTACGTGACTTCTGTGACTGTGATGCCGGAATTTTGAGCTGCATACGGAATGAACCAGGACTGATCCAGGTCCGGGACCACACCAGGACCAGACTGGGACCAGAGCGGGACCAAAGCGGGACCAGAGTGGGACCAGGGCAGACTCTGAGCTTTGACTCCGAACCTCAGCTTCGAGCTCGGCCCTGGTCCCTGCCGTGGTCTCCGGTGTCAGTCCCTCTGTCTGTCAGTCCCGGTCTCAGTCCTGGTCTCAGTCTTGGTCTGGTCCCGGTCTGTTCCCGGTCTGGTCTCGGCCTGGTCCTGGTGTGGTCTTTGTCTCGGTCTGATGCCGGTCTCAGTTCTGATCTCAGTCTCCGTTTGGTCCTGGTCTGGTCCCGGTCAGATCTCGGTCTGGTCTCGGTCTCAGTCCCACTCTGGTCCCGGTCTGGTCCCGGTCTCAGTCCTG